TGAGAGTCAAGTGTCTTGCCCAAGAACACAACACAATGTCCTCGGCCAGGGCTCGAACCCGGACCGCTCGATCCGGGGACGAGCGCACTAACCATGAGACCACCGCGCCTCCACGTATCTCGAAAAGTTTAGCCTCTTTTTTTATCAAGTTCATGGTTTGTGATCTGATCTGAAGCTTATATTATACACTCTATTTCGGAGAATAGGCCACTGACGAATCGCTTCCAATTACCCCCGGTCCCTGGCCAAGTGTTCCATCTCTGTCCATGCGTAGCCTTTCGACTGGATGGTGCATTCCGCATTAATCTTCTTCACACCCTTAACCATTATTGTTCCTTTATGGTTCATCATTATCTCTTTGGTGTTTTTCTGTCTTAGTAAACTACTACTTTCAGATTTCCTTCAATTAAAAGGCAATTTTGTACGTGGCTAAAATAACTCAAATGCCGTGACTGAGCTCCCTTAACATGACAGCGTACTGGGAAGTATAAACCATCTTTTATTTTAATATCCCACTATTCTGATTATTACGCGATTTTACCATGTTAGATCAATATGATCCCGTATTGCACTGNTCAGAGTCAAGTCAACAGTGTTTGTCAGTCGATGGTGTTATAAGTCGACAAACACTATTTACTTGACTCTGAAGATGACTTCCGCTCAGGTTGTCGAAACGTCAGTCACCAACAACAGTTTAATTTTCCAGAACTACCCTCACCCGGACTATCACACTATACGAACTAGAGTCGTGCTTTGCTTTCGCCTTTCGCACGCGCTTTATTCGATCGATATCCCACTTGTTATAGAGGCTTCTGCCTACACCGAGAAAATACAAGTGACTCGTAGGATATTCCATCATATACCACTCAACAGCCTTGCGTAGCTAGCAACTAGGCTAATACACTAAAACTTCATCTTACGTTTGCTTTCTATAATCCAAAGTTCAGGCAGTTGATTAAAATATCTTTTCTTAACTTAAGCCTTTACCAAGCCAGTCTCTACGATCGACGATGAAATACCTAACATTAGACCTAACGTGCGATATTGCAATGTTCAACTGTGGTCAGATGCTCTATATATTACCTATGTCTTTCAGCTCTGGCCTTCAAAATGTGAGTATGGCACAATCGGATGGCGGNAATGAAAGGATATTTTGCCAAAAAACCTATCCTGTAGTTTTTGTCATACCCTAGCCTATCTACCATAGGAATATGAGCGAAATCGAATTTCCGACCCTTGCTGCGAAATTAAGAATTTGTCTGATTTTTACAGGCAGGCACTCTTAATAATTACTCGCGCTAAAGCGTAATTTGAATATTATTTTTTCCGACGGCTTTGCAGTCCTTTTTTCGGCCGTAGCTTTACCAGTCTTTTACCAATAACCTTAAAAGAAATTCAGCCAAACATCTCACTAAACCCAATAGATTAAACAAACAAAACGAGGAAGTCTCCATAATTTGTAAACGCAGTATGCATGACAACATAACGAGCGTCAAAAGCTGTCAAGGATAGCAAATCGATGGTTTTCCTTCTTCCAAAGGTAAACAGCGAAGAAATTATAGCAGTCTACAAAGTGGCTGTCCTTACTAACACAAAGAAAACTTCAAAACTCGCCTGGCAGTATTTACAAATACAGTTTCAGTTATTACTTTTAGACGTGAGGTTATCGGTATACGGCGAAAAACGACAGAAAACTAAGCTTGTTTGTTTACAATATGCAACTTTATATTCAACGACTCTAGTCTTATTGTTTGAAATTTATCAAATTTCTCCCAGTATGGTTCCAAATCAGATAATCAAGGAGACTTTAAAACTCCTATTGAAGATATAAGCCTTAACTTCTAAGCTTATCTCGCCGAAGCAACTACATAATTTTTATGGAAAACGCGAAAGTTTCTATGTAACAAAGTCGCTTACCACAATATGGCAGTTCACTTCAGTTTGAATCCTATAGGCAGAAACTTTCAGCAAAAGTTGCAAAGACTGAACTGAATTAATCTTTTCGATAGATCAACGAATCAACCACTTTTCCCGCTGTGTTTTTTCCTCTAAACACAAGAAACACGTTTGATTTCTCTTGTTGATCACCTCATGAAATCATGTGACTTCTTGGACGGCTGCACATCTCGACGCGCGAAGTTCTGTAGTCTTCTGAGTAAATTTTTCGGGTATTCCAGCTCTTTTCTATAGCCGTCGTTCGCTCTGCCTCACGGCATTGTTCGGTATTATTTCATCTCCTTTCTCAAGCCCTGACTCGATCTAACTCACAGCATTGTTCAGTACCATCTCGCCTCCTTTCTAGCCCTGGCCCGCTCTTTCGCGATCTTCTTCGTCACTTCTTTGTCTGTTAATCCTTGCCCTCTGTTGTTAGATCAACCCCTCCGATCGTTTGTTAACATAACAAATAAAAATAATTTTTTTTCCCTGACTTTTCTGAAGAATCCCGGTCAGAACAGATGGCATTCCTTAGCTTCCCCCGGGGGTTACCTCGAGACGCCCCTCCCCCTCCCCCAGAGTCTGTACGGACGGCGTTCGCTTGCTCGTACGCTTACGTCATAACCAAATTTTCTCGGCTTGATGGGTTACCAATTTTATTTACCCATGGTGCTTCGCTGGCGCGCTTCGCGCGCTGAAGCTCCGCTAAAAAAAAATAGATTATGGAAATCGAAAAACAAAACTTCCACTGGATTTTCGAAGCACAATTCGTAAATAAAGGGGAAGAAAACTTCTACCAGTGCGGCGCTTTCAAAGAGGTTTTCAAAGGGATCTGTTCTTTTCTGCTTTTATCCGTTCAGTACTTTTCGAGAAAAATCTTTCGAGCGGGTTAGAATGTAATTTTTGTCAGCAGCATGACGTCTCGTGACCAGTCATGCAGAGAAATGGCAAGACTTATTTTCGAACTAAACTTAGGATAAACACAGAAGATAAGTTTTTTCTGCCCAGTGCTTTCCAAAGAGACCTCTCCCGATCCAAACGGTGCGGTAGTTCTAGAAAAGCAGCTCTTTTCAACATGGATCTGCAAACTTTTGTAAATGTTATAGCAATTAAAAATTAAACATGCAAAAATTTGCGCGCGCATAATAAGATTTTTGGAGCGAAAGTTCTAAAAGACGGGAAAGAAATATTTTTACCGTCCTGCGCTTTGATGGAAACTTTCAAAAGGGATTTTTTTCGCCTTAACATGCTCAGTGCTTTTCGAGAAACGACTTTCGAAAGTGGTTAATAGAATGTCAGCAGCCATGGCGCCTCAGGCGAGCCATCCATACAGAGAAATTCAATAAAAGAATTATTTTCGAAGCACACCTAGGATAAGCACATAGAAGATAACTTTCTGCCAAGCGCTTTGAAAATGCTTTCAAAAGAAACCTCTTTCGATCCAAACGGCTTACACAGGATGAGATTTTTTCGGTGTCCTACTAGTAAATGTTTCCGGAGTCATCAATTTTAGAGTATTCGGATTCGATAGGCGTGAACACTGAAAGGATATTCGAATTCCTAACCGTTTTATACACGACGATAACTACGGGAACATTCATGATAAAAAAAAGAAACAAAAATTCATGATGGAATGGTTAACAAGTAGTTTGTTGCCTCGACAAGGTGAAACAAAATGTCGCCAAGAAGAAGGCCAGGAGTAGGTTGAGAGAGTCTGAAGTTTTCTTTCCACTTGCTGACCACGCGTTGTCCATCATGATGTCCCACAGGCATTTGTTCTGGAGTAGTCATGGTCTTCGATCGTGCCATCGTCTTCGTCCCCAATAAAGTCTGGAGAACGTCAACATTGACTGCGTCAATAACTTTGATTTCTGAGGAATATGGCCCATTATACTGCAAACTCAAAAATATCGGAGGCCGAAAAGTGTCTAGCCTGCGTTGCAGCCGGACGTGTCACAAAATCCCCGGTATACCGGTATACCGACTATAGCAGCGGTTTAGACTGTCTGCGACGCAGGCTAAAAAGTGTCCGGATTCGAAAGAAAATCGTTTACACGACAAATCTCTCCGGATTCAAACGGTTTCGTACGGTAAGAATATCGTTCGCGGTCAACAAGAGGTTGTTATTAACTTCAAAGAGGAAAAACGTACGGCGCTGCTTTGTGCGCATTGCTTGCCATACTTGCGGCTCAGACAATCGACTAGGTAATTTTTTTTTGAGAATATAAAGTACTTTATTGGTACGTTTCCTGCACTACTAGTACTTACATCAACTATCACATATATCGCTCAACCTACTTTACATTGGTTTCAACAGTACTAACGTTAACATTTCTCTTATGTATAACTTAACTAATTTCATTTTCTCACAAAAGCGCAAAACCTTNGAGTAGATAGATAGATAGATAGATAGATAGATAGATAGATAGATAGATAGATAGATAGATAGATAGATAGATAAACTTTATTTAAACACGATAATTAAAGCTGAAAGCTTGTGGGGTCGTGTATTTAAATTTAACTTTGCTAAAAATTACGATTAAAATGTTTAGATTACAATTCCTAGATTTACAATACAATTGTAGGTAATTTTTTTTTTGAGAATATAAAGTACTTTATTGATACGTTTCCTGCACTACTGGTAATTACAACAACTATCACATATATCGCCTAACCTACTTTACATTAGTTTCAACAGTACTAACGTTAACATTTCTCTTATGTATAACTTAACTAATTTCATTTTCTCACAAAAGCGCAAAACCTTAAAAGGTTTCGCGCTTTTGTGAGGGGCATTTTTTCGTAGCTCACTGACTAAAGCTCTCTATTCTGTATTCAAATAAAACTCTACTAACAAAGACAGAAAGGTAAATAGCTTGGTTATGCATCTTACTGGTGTGTATGTAGTATTTCATAAATAAGATTGTGTAATTAAATTCATTTAATATTTCTTTTTCGTATGGGCAAGATGTGATACCAAATAGTTTCTCTTCAATTGTTGGATCAAATTTTGAGTTGTTGGCCGCGTTAAACCAGTCAATTACGTTGTTTACGAAAATCTTTACAAATCGACAGTTAAGAATAGTGTGATCAATTGAATCTTTCTCACCACAGTAGAGACATTCATCATCCGCTTTAATACCATATCGATGAAGCTCTTTTGTGGTAACTACAATCCTATGAATTAGTTTAAACTGGAATTCTTTCAACTTTGTCTCGTTGCAGATACTCTTTAGGGAGGTGAAAATTTTTTTCCAGGCATTCTCATCTAGTCTTATTATGCTGTTCCAATTCATTGGGCCAGTCTGGCTGACAGTGTGAATTTTCTAGTTTAGTAAACCATGGAGGTCTCTAGTTTTAGCATTATCCAGTTGTATTTGTGCAGAGTCGTCTAACTGAAACAGAAAGTTATTTTTTGTGTATAGTTCGTTTTCCAGTGGCTCTGTATTTCTTGCTTTTCTTTTGTTTTCTTCGACTCAGGTAATAATGCGAGCTGCATCGCTGCATTGGTAGAAAGAACGGCGGACTGTGATAAGGTACGGGAGGATATCGTTCAGTTGATTTATTTATACTTGAGCAAGCATGATTTTTTTTTCGGCATTTCACTGTGAAGAAAACAAGGCTCCCCCTACCTTCTGAGGGGCTCTCTTGCATATATATTCAGTGGTTTGTTTATATGGATGCAATGTTCGAAGAGCGTTTGTGGAAAAATATGTGTCTTCGCACCGACATTTCTTGTATACCGCGACAAATACACAAAGGGTTCGGAAACCTTCTTTAAGTTGATTTTGTGCGGAAAAAACTGATTCTCCACGGAAACAATACCCCCAGCTTTCCATTAGTGACGTGAAAATACTGCTGCTTGTCGAAAAAATTGGGAAAGCATGTCAAATTCATAACGTTTTTTGTTTACACGATGGACGAAATTCCCGCCTTTTTTCAAACTTGGAGCCTGACGTACAGCCAAAACTCGCGCACGCTTATTACGTTTTTCCGCTCTGAAATTATTAACAGGTATGCAAATCTGGCTTATGTGTCTAGGATACTGTGTTTTACGATGACATAAGGCTGAGAAGATTATTGTAACAAAAACTTTTGGTCCCTGAAGTGTGCTATTAACTCATTATTGGAACTTAGAAGAACTTAAATGATGATTTTAACTGAAAAGTCTTTTTGTTTTGGCCAAGGATGTAAAATATCAGCGCCTACACTTTCGTTTTCATAGCTGGGGCATAGGATCGAGTGTGGAACAAATTGAGGCGACTGCGATCAGGTGGCTTTTCATGCCCTGATTTGGGTTAGAACCGATGTCACGTGATAGCCTGGTACTTAATTTCTCTGCAATCTCACTAAATGATCTTCGATTTCGGTGAAAACGATCACCTTTTGCCTTGATTTTGGTGTGGACAATGGGCGAAAACACTCATAATTTTTTTTTTCCGACGACGGCGTATCATGTTTAGGAAAACAAAAATCACGTAAATGAAACAGCTGAAGTGATAAAATCGAAATGACTTTGAAATAGGAAGTAAGAAAATTCACCATTTTCAAGATAAAATTTGTCCAGGAAACCTGAACTTTGGCTTCGATCATTTCACGTTATGTGATTTTTTACTGAGAGCCAAGAGAGATTTACAAAGGTTTATAACGCACCTGCAAAGGTCCGTGAATGGTAAATTAAGGTCCCGCCCATACTACTTCGAAGGAATTTGAAAACAAAGGTTTCACTCTGAAAACGCATCAAGTGTTTTCTGTTCACACTACGCCAGAGGAAATTGAAAACGCAACAATCGCCAGTCATTTGGGATTTGTGTTCCAGTAAACCTCGGGCAGGGAAATCACACGACTTTCGTGACGCCTTCGTTTTCAAAGAGTGGGCGTCTCAAAGTTCCTCCGGTTTGAAAAGCGTTTTCCAAAAGCTCCGTTTTCGTGACGGATTATCGAGGACGGTAGGCCTAGCCGTAGAAATAAAGCTGCGTTTTCAAATTTCTCCCGAGTAGTGTGGACTTGGTCTTAAACCTTTTGTTTTGTTTTTTGAAGTTCGTGGTTGTGGTTTCGGGAATTTCATTTGAATTTCAACATAAACTATTCACCTTGTTCTATCACGTGTCCGCTGAAGGTAAAATGGCGCTTTGAAGTTTTGCCGTAGATTCAATACGCATTTAAGCTTACTTACGAAATGCTTTCTTGCAGAGACCGTTAACTGCTTTTAATGTGGAAGAGGTTCGTAGACAAATGTTAGAGTTGTAGCGCTGGTCCACGGTCTTAGAGGGAAGTCGAATGCAGTGGGTACAGGGAGTTCGTTGAACTTACAGTACGTCTTAATAACTTTGAAGGTAAGTTTCATGATAATTTTGTTTCTATTCTCTATAAGATCATGATAGCTACATGAACGATGCTGTCTAAGATTATTCTTTTAACTAAACTGTCTTCTAACTTACGTCAGAACACTTTTGTTTTTCGTCGATTAATATAGGTAATCAAATGATTTCGAGTGCAATTTGGAATAATTAAGCACAAGTAAATTTTATTAAGACTAAAAAAAATTGGACGAGCCGGGCTCGTGAAAGTTAGTCTTTAAAAAATTTGCGAGTGCTTATTTATTCCAAATTGCACGCGAAAAATCATTTGATTACTTGTTAATAATGTACAAGTGACAATTTCTGTCACGCTTCAGTATTTTACGTCAGAAATGAAGCGTCAAGTTAGTGTATCTTTATTGTATGAAAATTAATTCAAGCGTAAAACTTCATTACAAGTCATGTATGAAAACTGAGCAGTTTCGTTTAACTGTGAAAAGTAGTCTTTATTTTACATTTGAATTGAAGAAATTGACCACAAAGCAAAAGAAAACCTCCCTGCTGTTTTAATACGACTTTTTTTGCAACTGTTTTTTTGAGTGATTGAAAAACTCTGTGCCGCGTTCAAGCTTGTCTTCGCCGAGAAGCAACTCTTCAACCCAGCACAAGCTGCTTTAAACAAAATGCCGAGAAACACAAAGCTAAAATCTACCAAGATACTGATTTTCTTAGTGACTGAAAGACATTTATTAACTTCTTCATTGGACGTTGTACAGGTTAGATTTGCGTTTGTCGCGTTTTGTTTGTGAACTATCTTACCTAATCTCTAAGCTTTGTTTTTTCGCAAAAGTAGAACGCTTGCCCCTTTCGTCTTCAAAATTAAGATGTGGCAGGTTCTTAGGGCGTCTTGTTGTTGCGTTCCTCTTCGCGTTTTTTGAAGTAGTACTAATGGAATTTTAAAATTTACTTTTTAAACTGGGATTTTGTCATGCCGTCGTGATCGGATCCGGCATTTTTCAATTCAGCCAAGCTCAAGTTTATGTTTTTGTCCTCACGTCGTCTGTGTATATTTCTTATCTTACACACTTCACGATAACTAGTTTGTAATTTTTGCTGAACTTTGTGTTTTGCTTTGTTATCAAGTCTCTGTATTTAAACTGATTTAGGTTAAGAGTTTGAATCTTCGTCCACCTTTTGTCCCCCGTTTTGTTTGGCCGGCTCAATTTTGTCGGAGCTGTCAATCATTTTCAATTTCACCGTTTAGCACTCAATTTCACTCTGCTTGCACTGGTGAAATTGCCCTGATTTGGGATTATTTGACATGTTCTCAGCCAATCAGACTGCAGAAATTCTTACTCAGGGGGGTAATCGTGCTCGTAATTTCAAATCGGCCACCGTATTTTAAAATCACTCGCGCGATTACTCCCTAAATTGTACTCCAATCGGTCCAATTACTATTACTAACAGTTAAACATTTAGCCCATTTCCCAACTATCTCCGTCTATATCAAATATATCTAGAAATTTCCAATAAGGCAGTACCTCTGCCTCCCCGGGGCGCTCCCTAAAATGGCATCCCTTAAATGGCCTCCCTAAAATAACTAGTGTATATCACTTGGTTGCACTAGATTAACACACTGAAACTAAATCCTACGATTGGTTCCTAGTATCCAAAGTTCAGGTAGTTGATTGAGAAATCTTTTCTTGGCTAAAGCTTTTGCCAAACTAGTGTCCAGGACATCACTGGTAACGTAAATAAAATACCTAACATTAGACCTAAAGTGCAATATTGCAATGTTCAACTGTGGTCAGATGCTCTATATATTACCTATGTCTTTCAGCTTTGGCCTTCAAAATGTGAGTATGGCACAATCGGATGGCGATGTGTTGTGTTCATACAGTAGGTGGTTGCAGTCTCGCTGTACCTCTTTAATTGACTGGTTTTTAATGTCTGAAACAAGGTGCGGTTTTGGTGAGCTGTAGGTGCTTTGTTTTGAATGTCCTCGATTATGACAGGTATTCGTTTGGAAAACATCGTGTGCCCCCGTGGATAACCACGATGTTGTCTGTTGGAGACAGTTATAGCTACATACGCGAGCGCCTGGCCTCGGAATATCAGCTCTGTAGAATAAATTACATGTAACTGAGAGATCCACCAACTCTCTTGGTCGTATTGTGTAGGGCAGGGCAAAATGTGCTTGATGGATTGATGATGAAAAGCGTTAAAGAGAGCATCGAACCACATCACTGGAACGACTATCGGTGGTTCTTTGATACCACATATCGATTGTCTTCTTTTCAAAAGCGCCCTACCATTATTGTTATAGTTTGCAACACCCACTGCTGGTTCATCATCCAAAAGCCATTGTTCAAAGGCTCTAAACGGTGACAGTCTCTTTATTTCTTGAGAACTAAACGAGTTGAATCCAAGATCTACATCATCATCTAAGAAGATGTAGTAATGGTAGTGACGTATTCTCTCTATTGCAACAAAGTAAAGCAGATTTCGCCCTGTGGTCCAGGTGCTTTCTTTGGCAAATACATAGGAAATGTGTGATGGCTTGTCGTCTTGACATTCCTCTTTGTAACTTAGTACTATTACGTCACAGTTGCAGGTCTTATTATCTCCGATCCTTGTCGATGAGGCCAAGTGTTGAGGAAGACATTGTTCGGTTTGAGTGAGATAAATGAATGGCTTTGAAGTTATAGAAATTGACTTGTCACTTGTTGTCGTTACTGTTGAATTGGATTCGGCTTCACGGAAGTGGGCAACTCTTGAAGTAACTACTTTAGCAAAGATCAGAAGAGAACGACAAAGAAAATTGATTTTGTTGTGACTATTAGAACAATAAATTAGAGTTTCTTTCACACACATTCCGGGAAAAGTCACGTGGCCTTGAAAGCGATTATCAACGGTTTTACATAGACGCTCGCTCCAGTTTTCTCTTTCGGGGGGGGGGGAGGGGGTGGGTTGGTGGCTGTAGCTTTCTAAGTAATCGTAAAGGTTATTAGTTACGTACTTTAAGAAAAAAAACAACTTTCTAACTTTCTGATTGGTGTGCTGAATCTTGGATACCAGGCTTTATACTTATGTTTGACCGTATATAGAGAAATATTGCGGCAACTGGTAAAGGAAAGATCTGTCGGAAAAAATGTCTGAATAACAGTAGATTTGGTACGCTTTTCTTTTTAAGGAAATAAAAGGAAACGCTATCATGCAAACTACAAAAACCAATTAACTGTCAATATTAGTTCTTAATATATGGCTCTCTCCGTGAACGGGCAAAATGAACTGAATCCGAATCCAAGATGGCGCTGTCTTGTCCCTTCAGGATTACCCGCTGTGTCCCGCCAAAAAGTGTTCTGTTTCCATATAAGAGATTCTATATTGACCAAGCGTGAGGTCAAGATGGCTGGGTATTGGCCTTATTCTTTGTTTTTTTCTTTTGCATGTCATTATGGACCTAGACTCTGTGACGGTCAACAAACACCCAAAAGAGGAACTTGACTAATATCCAGCCTTATTATCCAACTGCAGCGAATACCGTCCAAATAACAATGCAAATATACAGCGATATTGTACAGTTATTTTGTACAGCAGAAAACCTGTTTGCCGTACAGGTCGGCGAGCGCACACAAAACTGTCACACTCTCCCTCTTGTCATTGATGAATTTATTGACTACAGCAGTTGGATAATAAATCTCTTATCAGATGTTTTGGTGTGTAGTATCGCTTTTTATTATCCAACTCTGCTTCGTAGAGTACAAATAACGCGCGAAACGAGTACAAATATCACACGATATTTCTACTCGTCTCATTCCTCCTGGCCGTGTAAAAGGTTAAAGAGCTTGGCAAGTCAGAATTTTGGGACAAAAAATCTTTGGATAATAAATCACTTATTAGATGTTTCCGTTTGTAGTATCGCTGTATATTTTTACTCGTTGTTTGAATTTTGACTCGCCTTACGGGCTCGTCAAAATACGGCACAACTCGTAAAAATATACAGCGATACTACACACCAAGACATCTAATAACATATATATATTTTTACTCGTTGTTTGTATTTTGACGAGCCCCCCATAGGGCTCGTCAAAATACGGCACAACTCGTGAAAATACACAGTGATACTACACATCAAAACATCTAATAAGATGTATCTCTTGACCTCACGTTTGGTCAATAACCCATATTTAACAATTAGATTATGAGCTCGAGATTTCTATGAGATGATAGTTGATAAGGCCGAAGGCCGAATCAACTATCGCCTCATAGAAATCGAGAGCGAACAATCTAATTGTTTTAGTAGAATTCTAACTGAATTAACACAAATAACGGTTTCCAATTATTTTTCTACCCTTTATTGAACTTTACACTTTAACAAAATCGCACGTATTGAATTGTCTTTGGTAAATTTGCAGTTGCTTTTACGCGCGCGCACTCTTTTTTCAATAATTTCAAATTTTTAAGTGAAGAAACTGTAAATGTCCGTCTTTCAGTCTTCTCAGGAATTTAATTATCCATTTATATCTTAACTTTTTTCTAAAACTTCGGATAAACGATAAAAACGTCGCATTTAGTGGACGACCGCCAGCCACTGCACTCTAATTAAACAATAGAGTGTTTATGTCGAGGAACTATCGACTGATAGTTGCCCCGCGGAAATTTGCTGTTCTTAAAACAAATATTTGCCCGAGAAACGAAGCTTCGAGGGCAAATATGCGAGTTTTAAGAACATCAAATTTCCAAGGGCAACTATCAGACCGATAGTTCCTAGGCATTAACACTCTATTGTCTTTATTGTTCACCATTAAATTTCTTCCGCGCGCCAGTTTAAAAATCGCATTAAATTTTTTTTAACTCTTTAAGATGAAAGCCGTGAAAAGTCAAAGGTAAAATTTGAAAATACCAAACAGATTAAAACCCATATAATTCAATTTCAGTTGTTTCTTTTCTATAAGCTCGCTTGTTTACAGAAAACTTTTCTCGGACCAGTACTATCCATCCGGGTATTTTTCTCGGACGGGCGCTATGGGCTGATAGTGTCTCTCCGCGGATGAACAATATCGCGTCACGTGATCAATTTAAACCAATAAGAATCGGAGAAAATTTAGTGGTGAACTGTAATGGCTGATAGTATACGAGTAGCTCAGCCAATCAGATTGCAGCATTTGCATTAGTATACTAGTAAAATTCGACTAAAACTAATTAGAATATGATACGAAATGATGTAATCGAAAGGGCCTGTGCAAGGACAACAAAAGAGGACTAACTACAGATCTCGGCCAATTAAAACGAGGCACAAAATCTGTCATTCAATATCCTATGGCAATTAATGTCACTAATCTTTACACTGATGCTAATAGGAATTTGCTGTGCATTCTTGAAGGCCAAAAAATGTAAGGTTTTCTTACCTGTATAGTTTGCATCCAGTCTACGTAACTTAAATGTTGAACTCCAATATGAAAGAATAATTATAGCCAAAAAAGACAATCCAACAAAGAGAGCAGTAAACAACTTCAGGAATTCTATTTTCTTCATAACTTCAGCAGATTAGTAGCAGATTTTTCCAGCACAAAACCTTAAAAAGAAAGATACTGAATTATATAGTGTGATGAACCTATAAATGTACAACATGTAACACCATAAACCCCTAACACCTACAATAGACGTAATAAGGTTAACCGTAAATGTCATGAATCGACCAATTCGAATTGGCAGTCACATGATTTCGAGCGCAGTTTGAAAAAAAATACGCACGAGTAAATTCTATGAAGGCTAACAATTTGTAGTAATTTGTAGTCTCTACGAGTTTATATTTGTTGTAAATTGTACAAGGAAAGCAGTACGTTTTTTCATCTTTGAAGTTGCAGAATTTGCGAGGGAAATCAAAAAGCAAAGGAAAAACAAAAACAATAAAACAAAAATGCAATGTGAACAAAGGGCCTGCTGCAGTTCTCTAGGCTGAGCTGTTTTTCAGGGGTTTGTGAAACTATCTGCCTTTTTTGTGGCTACTCTTGCTAGGTAACGTAGCCACTATGTCATCACGCGTGGAAGTACTGTCGCTAGAAGCTATTCGGTCTTCTGTGACTGGTAATCGAACGCAAGTCGGTCCGATGTTCAGAGTCAGAAAATATTCAAACGTGTAATATCAATTTTCTCTCGGTTTTACACGAACGATACTCAGACGCCTACCGGTCTCATGCGGATTTATACGACAGGACCGAACTGTTATCAAACGACAAGTTAGGATAACTCCTGCCTTTCTCGCCAATTTTTATCGACTACTTACGCGCAACGTAAACGTTCTGGTTGGGAGCTCGAGTTTTTCAGGCTGAAGAGTTTATTTATGATATGTTTGTCCCATTTTGGACTAGTAATCACACACAGCATTCAAACAATGTGCACTGCGAGTTTCTTTGTAAAGAGATTTTAGGCTTCTTGAAGGCGTGGAGAGAATTTTCTGCGAAAAAGGTCGCGGAAACGATCGCGATATTGTGAGATGGGCATTAGTACAGTTCAGCATTGCGAAATGCTATATGTACTATTGATCCCAAATGTACATACATACATAAATACAAACTTTGTTGAAGCTCCCTAACTGGGTTTTTAAGCTACAATAGAAATGAAAAATGCAAATGTATGATGGGAATAAACCGCGGAATTCAAGATATTCAATTTGATTATAGATGAACGGATATATGCCGAANTTGCGAAATGCTATATGTACTATTGATCACAAATGTACATACATACATAAATACAAACTTTATTGAAGCTCCCTAAGTGGGTTTTTCAGCTACAATAGAAACGAAAAATACAAATTGAAATTCAATAGTAGCAATAAATACATCAAAGGTAGAAATGCTACTTTCCCTATATTAAAGATTCAAAGATACAATAAATAACACAACATCCATGCTTGCTAGCTGCTGTAGGTACATGCGAAGCAAAATAGCTTGCTGGACACTGACACCTGCTTGAAAGCTGTGTCTGCTGTGAAATGTGAAAATATAACACTTTTTGAGAGTAAGAGAGAACCATCCAGTGTGTCATATTTGAGAAGGCTCTTGGAAGGTTGCCCAGACATGGATTAAGGACACTAGAGGTATAACACTTATTTGTGAAACAAACAGTGATGGTAAGAGATAGAAAACCATCCAGTATGTCATATTGATATTTGAGCAGACTTTTGGAAGGTTGCCCAGACATGGATTAAGGACACTAGAAGTCGGAGGAATGGGAAACTTCTTACTTAGAGCAGTAGAATATCATTTATAGAATGATGCAAGTTGTAATTTTAGAAATTAGAGTTGCTGATGTTCAATATTTGCTAAATAGTCCCGATTGATTAATACAAAGTGTTTAAGATATGACATGGTACGTCTTAATACATGATCATGTTCAGGGGCTTCATCAACGTTTACGGCAAAAAAGGCAACTGGTTTTCAGAGAAGGGCAAACTTTTACAGAACATGAATGCCATCTGATCAAAGTGCAAAAGGTAGAGCAAGAGTGCGATATAACCACAAAGACAAAACATGGCTTCTGATCAAAAGGCAAACCTTTCTGCATACATGACCATAGAACAAAGAACAAAGCCGAAAACCAATATTGAGTTGACTATTTCAAAGTTTCATGAGATGATTACCCAAGGTTCGGGCACCGTATATTGGTATTTGTTGTTATTATATAAGCATGCACTACTCAATATGACAAAGCTAAGAAGGTCCTTGCATTGTTGAACACCTTTGTAGTGAAACAAGTGTTGATGATGTTGAACCGGGTTTGTAAAACATGCTATAGACATGTGGTAAGGTATAAACTCCATGTGCTGTTTGTTGTTAATGGCATGATATTTCCACAAACGATGAATAAGAATGCTGCTAGCACCAAGAATTGCATTTAAAAGAATGTTTTGCATTGTCATTGGATATCAACACTTATAAGGCAGTTCAGGCTGATGATTGGTTGACGAGTAATATCAATCTCGATCTATGGAGATGATGGGATTGCTTTTAATCCAGAATGAGTTTTTCATATACAATGAAGAAATTAACAACATGAAAATGTTAGCAATGTTGTATGGGATATTCAATCATGAGCAGCAATAAATGCGCATAGCAATAATGTTCAATTAAAAAAGCAATAGGAGATCAAGATCAATAAAGTAATTATGAAGCTGAAATGCTTGCAGGTGTTACCTTCTGCTGAAGCAATGTTTAGTTAGCCAGCGTATATTTTGGCACCCGTTATGCTATAAAAAGTCAGTTGATGTCAACATAGCATCAGTAATAGATTGTTTATTATATTTAGAGATGAAACTCTGAAGCATTAGCATATCCTGGAATATTCCTTGGTCAACGCCGGCCAGAAGGTAAACAGTTTGTAATGTGTCAAACACGAGAGACAGTGTTTCACCGGGATATCCAAACATCGAGAAGAGAGTTGAAAATACGACGCACAGCAGAGTATTTTTGACGAAATTCGAGGTGTTTGGATAGCCAACACTGTCTCGAGTGTTTGATATATCTTCTCGATCAGTATTGAACCAGAACACCATGAATCATATGGTAAAGTTGTTGATGCCTCAGTCATGGCAAATAGTATATATAAATCAACTTACATTATTTGTCTGACGTGTAACAACATGACCCTGATAGTAGATATAATGTTGTTAAGTTTCATAAATGTACGCTAACCACTTAATAGTCTCCTAGACACATCAGTAATAAAATATATTAGTATCACCCAACTAGTGGACTAATGCAAATCCTGCATTTTAATTGGCTACGCTACTAGAGGACNGCCTTTTCTGTCCGACTAGTAGGATGATACTAAAAGAATTAGACCCTTCGCCCTCAAGGGCCACGGGTCAATAGCCCATTCGGCTTTGCCTCATGGGCTATTGACCCGTAGCCCTTGCGGCCTAAGGGTCTAATTAGTAATTAATCCTTGACAATGGCTTGGACCAGATGTTGTGCACTTACACTGTCCTGGACACAAGTATGAACAAATTTTTTAAAGACACAGGTTGCACTGAAATCCAATTACTTGAACATGTTTCAACCAAAACCTTTAGGTTTACAGCCAGTGACAAAGACATCTTGTAAGCTGCATCACAGATATTTAGAATGTCATATACAGGAACCACTGAGCATCATTTGACTTGGGTTAGTAGGAAGCACATAGCAAGTGACTGTTATGGTCTTAAATAATTTGACACTTAGAGCGTCAAAACTGCTGAATTTTAAATTTGTCATTTCCAAACAAATGATTATTCATCATCTATAACAATCACAAAAATCTAGGATGGAGGACCTTTCAGCTATGCACCATTTCTCTGGGGGCTTTGCATTCCCTAGTATACTGCATTGTAATTTGAGTTAAAAAATTGCTACAGTCAATAACCAATATGCTCTATTTATTGATCACAAGAAGAGAGCTTCATATGTGATTAACTGGTGCATGTTCAGTTTTACTGGAACGTTGGAACGAAATAGGGAACGGGGAA